CAGCTAAACCAATCATTTATTATATTAGTCCTTTTCAATCCCTTTTTCAAATCTACAAACAAACATAATACTAACCTCCGTTTGGGAAGTGGGTTGGCTTTTGACTTTTTTTTAGCTTGGGCTAAAAAGCTTAGTTTGGAAAAGGTTTTTGACTTTTTTAGCCTTTTTGTGAGAGAAGAGTGTAATGATTATGGTTGGATGTGATGTTTGTTGTTATCGCTAAAATAACCTATTTTATATTTTGTGGCTAAAATAGCCCAAACCTCCTTACCAAACGAAGCCTTAAATAAGTCTCACCTCCATCCTAATATCATCCCTCCCCTATACTTCAAAACAAACAGGACCTAAAGGTAATTTCAAAGTCGCATGACAATAAAGATATGTCTTCGAAAGGAGGTTAAAAATCAATTTTTATAAATAAATGTATAAAAAAAATGGAAAAAATTCACCTTGCTTGTTTCACTTTTCAAAAAACACTTTTCAAAAAATTTTACTTTCTTTTTCTGTATTTTTTTGTTTTACTGAATTTTTTTAATATTTAAGCAATTTTTTACTTTTTAGAACACCCTAACATAAATACACCTAAAAAGTAAAAATTTGTAAAAAAAAAATCTTTTAAAAATTCACTAAATATCAAAAATACAAAAAAAAATACAAGAATTCAGTAAATTTTTTGTATTTTTATGTATTTATTAATTTTTAAAATATTTTTTCACAAATTTTTTACTTTTTAGATTATCTAAGTAAGGTGCATCTAAAAAAGAAAAAAAATATTTAAAATTTAAAAAATATTCACTAAAAACAAAAAAAAATACGAAAATCAAAAAAAGTCAGTTTTCAAAAAACTTAATCCAGAAAACTCAAACCAAACACACAGAATGTGATTTAAGAAGTTAAAAAATTTAAAAAAACAATTTTTTTTTTTAACCGAGGCCCATTTTGAGAACCAAAAATTAAACATTAATGTTTAAAAAAATTCCCAATAGATAAAAATAAATAAATAAATAACAAAGATAAAAAAATTTTAGTCTGGCAGACTATTTTTCTAATACTACCTTCACATCTTTCATCTCAATCCCTTTTCCAAATCACAAAAGTTCTCACTCCATCCACCCCTCCTAATCTCATCTCTCCCTCTATACTTCAAAGAAAACAGACCTAAAGGTAAATTTAAAGTCGCATGACGGATAGAGATATGTCTTCGAAAGGAGTTAAAAATCAATTTTTTTAAATAAATGTATAAAAAAAAATAGAAAAATAATGTGATTTAAGAAAGTTAAAATTGAGCAGGGTAGCTTGGTTTGGTTTTGGAGAGTAGTTTTTAAAAATTGTTTTGGGGAAAGAGTTAGAAATTTTTTGGTTTGTTTGGTTGTTGTATTTTGAAAGTAGTTTTGGAGTATGGGAGTTTGGAATGATTTGATATTTTGTTATAATTGAGTAGATGTGTGTGAGAGGAAAAATGATTGAGAATGAGAGAAGAGAGAAAAAAAGGGATTGATTGATAAGTAAGAGAGAGAAAGTGATTTTTGAAAATTGTTTTGGAAAATTTACAAACCAAACAAATTTTTTAAATTTTTTTCCCAAAATCACTCTAGAAATCCAAACAAACATATTTCAAAAAAATAATTTTTTTTTTAACCGAGGGCCTATTTTGAAGACTGAGTTAAAAGGCAAAAAATAATTTTTAATACATTTGAGTCACATTATTCTCACATAAAAATAATAAAAAAATTAAAAATTAACTTTTAACTATCTTCTCAAAATACTCCAAATTAACAAAAACTAGAAAATGATGGTGAATTTGTTTGGTTTGAAAATATATAGATATAAACCAACATAAATTATTATTTTTAAAGTTATCTAAATAAAAATAAGATTGTTATGGGTTAATTACTGATTTGCTTGGGATTTAAAGTTGTCTGAAATAAAATAGATTGTTATGGGTAACGCAGTGCTAATCGAGGATCGAATGTCTTGAAATTTTATTTGTGTAAGAGTATTGTTAAAAAATTAGCATCTCGTATCATTTATTTGTATAGTTTAATAAGGCGAGTGAGTTGGGTTGGACTAGTTGGTGATAAAATTGACTGATCATTTAGGTGTTGGTTAAAATTTGTTAATTTTCATATATTTTTTGTATGAGTCCTCTACTTAATAAATTTAACCAACAACCCTAATTGAATAAAAAAATGAACAGTTCAATTTTATCACCAACTAGTCCACCCAAAAACTCACTCCCGCCTTATTAACTATACAAACTAAATTGATACGAGATGCCTAATTTTTTAACATTATCTGTACACAAATAAAAATTTCAAGACATTCCGATCCTCGATTAAGCAACGCCGTTACCCATAACAATCTATTTATTTCAGATAACTTTAAACCCAAGCAAATCAGTAATTACCAAACCAATTAACAATCTTATTTTATTTAGATAACTTTAAAATAATTAATTTATGTGGGTTTATATCTAATATTATTTTCAAACCAAACAAATCTCACCATCCAAATTTTATCTAGTTTTTGTTTAATTTGGAGTATTTTTGCAGTAAGATAGTAAAAGTTAATTTTTAATTTTTTTATTATTTTATCGTGAGAAATAATGTGACTCAAATGTATTAAAAATTATTTTTTACTTTTAACTTCAGGCTCTCAAAATAGGCCTCGGTTAAAAAAAAAATTATTTTTTGAAATATGTTTGGTTTGGATTTCTAGAGTGATTTTGGGAAAAAAATTTAAAAAAATTTGGTTTGGTTTGTAAATTTTCAAAACAATTTCAAATCATTTCTCTCTCTTACTTATCAATCAATCCCTTTTTTTCTCTCTTTCTCTCATTCTCAATCATTTTTCCTTCTCACACACATCTACTCATTATAACAAAATATCAAATCATTCAAAACTCCCATACTCCCAAAACTACTTCAAAATACACAACCAAACAAACCAAAAAATTTCTAAAACTCTTTCCCCAAAACAATTTTTAAAAACTACTCTCCCCAAAACCAAAACCAAGCCTACCCTGCTCAATTAACTTTTCTTTAAATCACATTATTTTTCGTTCTATTTTTTTTATACCATTTATTTTAAAAAAATTTGATTTTTAACCTCCTTTCGAAGACATATCTCTATCCGTTCATGCGACTTTAAATTTACCTTTTAGGTCGCTGTTTCCTTTGAAGTTATAGAGGGAGAGATGAGATAGGGATGGAGGGTGAGAACTTTTGCTAGATTTGGCAAAAAAGGGATTGAGATGAAAGATTGTTGAAGGTAGTATTAGAAAAATAGTCGTGCCAAGACTAGAAATTTTTTTATCTTTGTTATTTATTTATTTATTTTATTCTTATTTGGAATTTTTTTAAACATTCAATGTTTAATTTTGAAGTTCTCAAAATGGGCCTCGGTTTAAAAAAAAAAAATTTGTTTTTTAAATTTTTATTAACTTTCTTAAATCACATTCTGTGTGGTTTGGTTGAGTTTTCTGGAATTTTAAGTTTTTTGAAAACTGGGACTTTTTTGATTTTCGTATTTTTTTTTGTTTTTAGTGATTATTTTTAAATTTTTAATATTTTTTTTCTTTTTAGAGGCACCTTACTTAGATATATCTAAAAGTAAAAAAATTGTGAAAAAATATTTTTAAAAAATAATAATACAAAAAATACAAAAAATTTACTGAATTCTTGTATTTTTTGTATTTTTGATGATTTAGTGAATTTTTTAAAAGAGTTTTTCAATTTTTTTTACTTTTTAGGTGTATTTATGTTAGGTGTGTCTAAAAAGTAAAAAAATTGCTTAAAATATTAAAAAAATTCAGTAAAAACAAAAAAATACAGAAAATAAGAAAGTAAAATTTTTTGAAAAGTGTTTTTGAAAAGTGAAAACAAGCAAGGTGATTATTTTTCCATTTTTTTTATACATTTATTTATAAAATTGATTTTTAACCTCCTTTCGAAGACATATCTTTATATGTCATGCGACTTTGAAATTACCTTTAGGCCCTGTTTGTTTTGAAGTATAGAGGGAGGGATGATATTAGGATGGATGTGAGACTTATTTAAGGCTTCGTTTGGTAAGGAGGTTTGGGCTATTTTAGCCACAAAAGACAAAATAAGTTATTTTAGCAACAACAAACAAAACATCACATCCAACCCATAATCATTACACTCTTCTCTCACAAAAAAGGTTAAAATAGTCAAAAAGCCTTTCCCAAACCAAACATTTTAGCCCAGGCTAAAAAAGTCAAAAAGCCAACCCACTTTCCAAACGGAGGCTTAAGTGTTACCAAACGACACCTTAGTATTATGTTTGTTTGTAGATTTGAAAAAGGGATTGAGATGAAAGATATGAAGGTGATATTAGAAAAATAGTCTGCCAGATTAGAAATTTTTTTATCTTTGTTATTTATTTATTTATTTTTTACCTATTAGGCATTTTTTTTAAACATTAATATTTAATTTTTGGTTAAGTAGAAATCATTGTTTATTTTTTTCTAGAATTTATTTATTTATTTTATTTTTTACATGTTAGATATTTTTGTTAACATTAATGTTTAATATTTTTTATATTTTTTATTTATTTTATATAAAAATTAATAATCCTACATCAATAACAATTATAAAAAACAAATATAATTTTACCTAATCCCGTCATTATCACTCTTCTACATTCTCGAAACTTTTCGAAATGACCTTTATCCTAGAGAGCGCTACTCTAGTCTCTATCTATCTGTATTTCTTTCCTTTCCACTTAAGTATTCCCAAACACTTTCTTGTGTATATATACCCTCAAAACTTATCCTCCAATCTATTGTCTACAAATTCCCAAAATCTTTTGAAACCAATTACATCTCTCTCTGTTTCTCTCTGATCTTTCTTTCTTGTTTTGTTTTTGTTTTTTGTTTTTCTTGTTTTGGGTTTGTGTTGCAGAGATGAATGATCCAAAGTATGCTTATCCTTACCCTGCTCAAGGTACCTTCTCTTCTCTTCTCCTCTCTCTCCTCTGGGACTAATCAATCAAGATGATTTCAGACTTGTTTGTTTGGTTGAAAAATTTAGTATTTTTTCATAATTGGTTGGGAATTAATTTGGGGCTTCTTGTGCTTGACTGCTATGAGGATCTGGTTGATTTCCATGATTACCCACCATATCCCTATTTGTTTGTTTGTTATCCTAAAGTTTTAAGGCCATGTTTGTTTGGCCGGGGATTGAATTAACAATCATGGCCCATCAAAATCATCTTTGATTGTGTTAAAATGTACAGGACTAATTGGACTACCAGCCCTTGGATTGAAAGTAGAGTCCATTTTTTTTTAATATTAAGTGAATTTTTAAATTATTTTTAAGTAAAATTTAAATTTTTTAGAACAAAAAAAATAATAACTATAATATTAAAAATTAAAAAATATTAATTTTATCTATTAATACTAGCCATTACTAATAGTACTAACATATAAATAAATATTCTTTTTATCTTACCTTATATCACCTGATAAGTCTTCCCACTCAAGCCCACCCTCGCCAAACAAAATTGGCCTACGATTCGTGATAATATTTGGATTTTAAAAGGGGAAATTATTTAATAATTTTGAAATACGTGGTCATACTCTGATCATTAATTATTTAGTCCTATGTTATTCCATCATTTCAATATAAATCGTGAGTCTCTATTCCCCTCTTTTAAAACCTTATGGATTCATATTCGGAATATACTGACGTTGAAAAGTGCGTATTTTTATTTTCATTTTTGGTTTTAATATAAAATATTATTTTTATTCTCTCAACTTCTTTTATTATTTTATTTTATCAGAGGCTAATATTCTGCTTCATTAATCAGAATCGTATGGATTTTATTCCCAATTTGGGAATTTCTTTATAATAATGATATTCTTCTTTTTATTTTTATTTTATTCTTCTTCTTCATTATTATTGTTGCACTTGTGAGTGAGTGAAAATTAAATTTCAGATGTTGCTGAGTTTGAGGGATGATAGAGAGTAATAGAGTTGGAGTTTTAATGTCAACTTTAGTGACGTGGCAATACATAAAAAATTAAAAAATAAAAAAAATATGCAACATATGCAACATGGCCCACTCTAGAGCTCCTCATTTACACGTCTCAAATATTTTTGCTGAGTTTTTCAATCCCTCCCCCCCCCAAAAAAAAGAGATTGCATTGAAATTGTTGATTTCTCACATTTAATTAAGAACAAATATGAGTAGTGGGTGATTTTGATGATAGCAGATTTGCCATTATATTTTAATTAATTAATTTTTTTGGTTGGAACAAGGTTATTATCAAGGGCCCCCAGTGATGGCACCACCTCAGTATACTGCTCCACCACCACAAAGGAGCCAACCTGGTTTCCTTGAAGGATGGTATATTCATATTTATCTATTTTCTTCTCTCTTTATTACATAATATATATAGAGAGGACATGTTTGTTTGGAGCGATTAGAGGAGAGGTTAAATTGAACGCTAATGCTTCAGGCTTTGAGAGTCTCAGGCACGAATGGCGTGAATTTGTGGTCACCGGACGACCGGCTAGACAACCACCCAGACGACCGGGTGAAGCACTTGTCTACCGCAGTTGTCACCTTGTCGACCGCAGCTATCAGCCTCTTTGCCGAACGACTGACCGGATGACCGGTTATACAAATTCGAGGCAAATTCGCGCCTCAATATTCGAGGCCTGTAGCGCGCCTCTAATTCGAACTAGGAGATATGTGGGATATACTGTTTGGATTTTGTCTCTTAAATCTCTCAATTTGTTTGGCCGAACTCATTATTATTCATCAATATATCAGTCAATACTGTTTGATATAGATCGATATATGACTATATCACCGATACTTACGCATATCTCTATATAACTGTTTAAAACTATGCCCACTCCAAACGATTTCTTCTCCTCCTCCCATACCATCAAATGGTTAAAACTAATTCTTTAAATTTTATTCTATTTTTATTATACTCTAGCTCAATAATCCATTAATCATATAATTTCATCCAACAATCTCATGATTAATTTGAAAAAATACATGTGAGTTTTGCTAAATTAGTTATCCTATATCCTAATAATCCAGACCTCCAAACTAACATGACCATATATTATAAATAATTATATTTTAATTGAGCTCTAGTGACGTGGAAAAAAAAAAAAAAAAAACGCATGGCCAAAATATCATTTCAGATGGAGCCTACACACATTAGAGCTATTAGAGTTCATTTTCTAGAGTTCTCAAATATTTTCCTTTAATAAATATGTATGAGTTTGTTTGTTTGGTTATTTATCTTTTCAAAAATCAAATTTTGATTAGTAATTTTTGTTTGAAATTGCAGCCTTGCCGCATTGTGTTGCTGTTGCCTCATAGACGAGTGTTGCTGTGACCCCTCCATGTTCTGTGTTTTCTAGGTTTCTAGTTGGTCCTCTGTTGTGGGTTTTTTTTTTTTTTTTTTTAAATTTATAATTATTGTGAAATATTAGAATTTGTTGTTTTTGTTTTTTCTTTTTGTCTTCTTGGTGGTTGTGATGCTCAAAATAATTTAGTGGTTATCATTACAAATTAGTTATGGAATTTATTCTCTTTTGCGAACCTTCTTGGTTGTCACATTATCATCCATTGCAATTGTTCACCATGGCCAATTTGTTTTAACTTTTCAATTGGCTTGAGATAATATTATCATGAAAATTTTGTGATAATAAACTTTAAATTATACAAGAGTATCATATAAAGTTATATAAGCATATCACAACAACATGAATAATTCAATTTTTTTTTTTTTTTATTGTTGTTTGTCGAACACAAGAGAATAGGAAAACACCTTAGAAAGCTAAGACATTACACAAGGCCGATGGGGATTTGAGACCTAATGAACTGGCAAACTACCATTGAGGAAGGCATTTGTAGTCCAATGGGCTGCCCTGTTAGCGGATCTCGGATACCAACAAAAAGAAAAAGATCGGAATCTAGCTAACAATGATGGGAAAAAGATCGGAATCTAGCTAACAATGATGGGAGCACAATCCTAGGGAGGGTCATTCTTAGACACACATAGTGAAATGACAACTTTGTTATCAGCGGCAATCTCGACGTGAGAGAGGTTAAAAGCATAGGCCATTAAACAAGCCCATCGAATGGCAAAGGCTTCCCCTTGCATAATTGTCATCACTTCCACATGACTAGCTGCCCTTTCCAAAATATCTCCCCTGCAATCCTAAATAGAACAACAATGGTTGCCATAGAGGATCTAGGTTTCATGGCTACATCACAATTTGCTTTCAACAATCCCTGCCGGAGATGAGGGGACGCCAGCCTGTAATAGATGGGTCGAGAGGTGGGCACATGATATGAGACTGATGCTGACTGGCTGAAGAAGCTCCGAGAAATTCTAGCCTATCCATAGTGGCCTGATAGATAGTAGAGATAGGATCCACTAGGTGATGATTGAAGACATTATCGTTTCTTGACTTCCAGATGTGCCATGTTTGTTAGAGAAACTTGCAGAATAAAATCTCACAATCAAGGTCATTGGAGAAGCCATCAAACAAGTCGCAAGTCCACCTTTTGATAGAGGATATCTCGCTTTGCCGAATCTTTAAGCCCAATTCACCCCAAACCAAATTGCCTTTGTCCAGTTACATTCGCACAGCATATGTTCAACAAGTTCAACTTCCAGCTGACAGATGCTACAAACCGCATCCCTAGAACATTTGTGACGGTACAAGTTCTCCTTTGTAGCTAGGAGGTTATTGCAACATCTCCACTAGAAATGCCTAATTTTAGGTGGAATAGACAAATTCCAAATCATCTTCCACACCTGCTCAAACATCTGGAGAGAGAAGGAAACAAACTCAGGCCTTTGGGCTTGATGAAGCTCCGTTTCAGTCCGTTTCAGTATGATACACAGAAGTAGGCATCACATAAATCCTATCTAGATCCTCCTTCGCCACCTCATTACTTAAGGCCCCTACATTCCAAGCCTTAGTGATAGGGTGGATAACATCCTTAACCTTATACATAGAGCTCCCACACAACTTAGAAGTTTGGACCCGAAAATTCTTCGCCTTCGCAACCTATTTATCTTCCTAGAAATTCACAGAAGCACCATTGTTGATATGCCAACGAATGCCTCAATCCAACACCTCATGACCATCAATGTGACTTACCTATGCCCAAGAAGCCCTCGAGCCTTTAGAAGCATGCATAAAGCTTGCATGAGGGTAGTAGATGCCTTTCAAAACGGAGTGCCAAAAGGAGTTTGGGTACTTTGCAAACCTCCACCCTTAACGGGCTAGAAGAGCCTTGTTAAAGCATCTAAAATCCCTAACCCAAACCCTCCTTTGAATTTAGGTTTCGCTAAGTCAACCCAAGATGCCCAGTGAATGCCTCTGCAATCTGGATCCCTTTTCCACCAAAAATTACTTAGAATAGAGTTCATGAAGGTGCACAATTTTTTAGGAAACAAGAAACAAGCCATAGCATAAGAGGTGATAGCTTGAGCAACGGCTTTTATGAGGATTTCCCTTCCAGCATAGGAGAGAAGTTTTGCCTTCCAACCTTGAAATTTATCCAAAACCCTTTCAACCAAATAATTACAGGCCTCCGCTTTTGACCTCCCCCAACATGACGGTAACCCCAAGTATTTTGATCCAGCTGGGACTAGAGACATTCTCATCAGGTCACATTCCTCCTTTCCCACCATCAGCCTAACCGAAGAAGCAAATTGGATCCCAGATTTAGCAAAATTAATGGATTGCCCTGAGGCCTCACAATACACCCTAAGAACATCAAGGACTTTCTGACGCTGCACTTGACCCACCTTAAGGAAGAGGAGAACATCATCCGCAAACATGAGGTGAGAGAGCACAAGACAAGTTCGTCTTACCCTAAGGCCAGAGAAAGCCTTATCATCAATCCCATGCTATAGAAGCTTAGACAAAACATCCATGATCATGAGAAACAGATAAGGAGATAGGGAATCTCCTTGTCTTAGGCCCTTCGCTTCTTTTTGCCCCATTAACAAAGACTGAAAAGGTTACAGTATTGACACACTCCACAACCCAATGGGTCCAACGCTCATGAAACCCCATTTTCAATAACACTGCCTTAAGAAAGTCCCACTGTACCCTGTCATAGGCCTTATTAAAATCCAATTTGATTGCCATGTCCGAACAATTACCCATTTGCTGGATTTTGAGAAAATGGAAAACTTCATGGGCCACTAAAATATTGTCCTGGATGAGCCGACTAGGAACAAAGGCTGCTTGATTTGGGATAATGATGCCACCCAACACAGTCTTCAACCTATTGGCCAAAATTTTTGTAATAATTTTTAGAGAAATGGAAATGGAGAGGAAAATAGAAAAAAAAAAGAGAAATAATTAATAAGATTTGAATTTCAAGCTATGTTTAGGTGGTATTTGATAAAACTGAAAATTGAAAATTAAAGACTGAAAATTAAGTATTGAAAGCTGAATGATGAATTTTTTAAGTTGAAAAACTGTTTGATAAAAATTTAAGTGCTGAACTAAAAATAAGTTGTTTGATATGCATAAAATCAAATTTGAAAATTATTATTTTTAAATTGTATATTTCAATTTTTATTTTGTGCTAGTGGTGTTAGCGGTGATGGCAGTGGTAGTTGTAGCGGTGGCATGGTGGTGGTAGTAGTAAAATGATGGTGGTGCTTATAACAAAAATAACAATGGTGATGAAGGTGGTGGTGGCTGCGGTAGGTGATGGTGGCATCGGTGGTAGTGGTGGCTATGGCATAGTAGTAGTGGTGGTAATGGTAATAATAACGGTGGTAGTGGTGACGGTGGCATGTTAATGGTGGTTATAGTGACATGATGGTAATGGTAGCTAGGGATGTAAGAAAAATCGAAAAAATCGACCAAACCGATTGAACTGGACCAAATCGGCTATATTTGGTCTGTTTTTTAAACAAGAATTGGTCTGTGCGGTTTTAAAATTTAAATTTTTTTAGTTTTCGGTTCGATATCGGTTTAAGCACCTTCTGCACCAATCTAAACTGAAACTGACCGCTTCAACATATATTGTATTTATAATATATATATAATCTAACAATCTAATGATATTAATAAGTATAATAAATTATTAACCTTAATTAATTAACCTTATCATCTTTATAACTTAAGTTTGTAAACTCTTATTATATATAATTTTAACTCTAACTCGTTATTCTTGAAATTTTAGTATTTTAAAACTTTTTTTTGTTTTTATTTTTGTTAATTTAGGAATTAAAAAGTATGTATTAAATGGATGGATTGGATATGTCTGAAATGGTAGACAAATAACTAATTTAATATTTTTATATAGATTAATGATTATATTTAAAAGTGGCTCAAGTTAAAAAAATTCTAAACTGATTAAACCGCACAAAACCGAACTGTTTCAATTGGTTCGATTCGGTGCGGTTTGATGTGAGAAACGGTCTGTATCGGTGTTCAAAATAATAAAACCGATATTATTGGTTCGGTGTAATTTTTTACCTAAATACCGACCGTACCAAACCGATTACATCCCCAATGGTAGCGGTGGTAGTGATAGCGGTAGCAATGGTGATGGCGGTGGTGATAGTGACAGTGGTGGTGGCATGATGGTGATGGTGGTGGTAGTGGTGATAGTGACATAATGATGGTAGTGGTAGTAATGGTGAGTTTATAATAGTATATATCAATGGTTATATTTAGGCGTTTATAAATTTTTTAGTCAAAATTAGGTAAATTTATTATGACTTAAAATTTTTTTAAGTTTTACCCTACATTTTGAGAGACATTTAAATTTTTAAGTGATATCAATTGTGGTTATCAAACGGACTTAATTGATTATCACTTAATATGTTCAATTTTACGTGCTGAATCAAGTTATCAAACACCCCATAGTTAAATTGGAAACTGGAGAAAAAAAAAAAATTATTCATCTAATAAATCACTCTAAAATCATATTATGAAAAATCACTCTGTGATAATTGGTTGGGTTCTAATGGCTGCATTTGGTCGAATTATATCTTTACAAATATGGCAAGCAAAGCATGACGGGGATATATTTTATACCACACCAAACTAATATTTTTTGTGACCTAATGATTGAATTTGAGCCATCTCTGTTCGCATCTCAACGATCTTGGAATCTAATCAATTTC